AAAAATTAAAGGCTAGCTTGCCCTGTTAAAGAAGGATATCAACATCATTTTTTTATATAACACTTAACAGTTTAAAATGTGATTACAATGGCCGAAACCGGTTTGGCTCAGTGGATAGGGCATTGGCCTGCGGACTGAAAGGTCCCAGGTTCGATTCCAGTCAAGGGCATGTACCTTGGTTGCAGGCACATCCCCAGTAGGGGGTGTGCAAGAGGCAGCTGATCTGTGATTCTCTCTCATCGATGTTTCTAACTGTCTATCCCTCTCTCTTCCTCTCTGTAAAAAATCAAGAAAAAATAAATAAATAAATAAAATGTGATTACAACGGTCTACAACTTACAGTGTTACAGTTTAAAGGGGAAGTAAACAACATTCAATTCTCTTTAGGGATTTAAGACTGGAGCTTACATAAACGCTACAATGTCTGTCTCTTACAGTTTCATCAAAGCCACTTTGTGTAATACATATCAAAAAGTGGCGAGACAAGATCCCCAGTAAGATTCCAGGATGCATCGATCAATAGCACAGGGACGCTTGCTGCCGCACAACTCCCACTAACCCAAATAACCACCAGATGCTGCGAACAGTGTGTATTTTAAGACCTGAATATATTAAGTGATCCACTTGTGAAACAATCTACCAATATGAAAGTTGGCAGACAGGACCTGATCAAGTAAAGGGCAAATTTATTTATGATTTAATAAAAATCAGTTAATGTCATTCAATTCAACAGTCAATATGTAACATGTTTTTGAACCAGACATTTAAAAAAATAATAATTTCACTGAGTTCAATTTAAAATACTAGAGAATAGAAACTTTTGATGCAATAATTCTCAAGCGATCACAGCACAGTATAATCAATCAACTCAGGATCCTTCCTTCCCGCCCTCATTCCCTCCATCCATCTATTCTCTGCCTTTTACCCTCAAACCCTAGTCCCACTGCCCTCACCCCCCAACACATTCAGACGGAACTGCATGTTCGGTCAATGAGCGGATGGGACATTTGCTACAGTTGAGCAGAAGCTGTAAAAGCCTGTGTTTCTGGCCACTCTTCTCTGCCTCTGCCAAGAATGGCGGGACGGAAAAGAGCTGCTCTTCAGAATGAGGACTTGTGAGGAGCCCGTCAACTGTCCGCCACCAACATAACGTGAGCAAGACACAAACCCTTGTTGTTCTGTAAGCTCCTGAGATCTGGTGATCATCATCACAGAAAACTAAGACAGCATAGAAACTTAAACTAAATCATTACACCTGAGTGAGATTTGGAAGGTCAGAGCGAGGAAAAGAATATACTGCCGCTGGTTCTGGCAGGATAAGGTTAGAGGTGTGAGGTGGTAGAGCCAAACCCCAAGTTCCAGGTCTCATCTCAACCACAGGGGTAAGGGGCACCAGTACAGGCAGGAACAAGTAAACCCCCTAGAAGTGCCCCCTCCTACCAAAATAACAAATAAATAATGCAAAGTACCGTATTTTTCGGACCATAAGACGCACTTTTTTTCCCTCAGAAGTGGGGGGGGGGGGAGTCCCTGCGTCTTATGGTCCAAATATAGCCTACACATATACTTTAAAAAAAATGTTTTTTTACTTGCCCGGCTCCGTGTGGTCTCTGTGTGCTTGCCCGGCTCTAAAATGGTTCTAAATGCTGTTTACTTTACAGGGTTGATTACATGTGTTTATGACTGTGATGTTGGGTTTTAATGCACATAAAATATTTTAGGACACTATTTGTTTCAGAATCTTTTTTTCTTCATTTCCCTTCTCTAAAAACTGGCGCGTCTTATGGTCTGGAGCGTCTTATGGTCCGAAAAATACGGTATATCCCTGAGGATATACAAACACCTGAAAGGTAGGGGTGGTGACTGTATGGCATTCTGATTTCACTAGCCCAGTGGTCGGCAAACTGCGACTCACGAGCCACATGTGGCTCTTTGGCCCCTTGAGTGTGGCTGTTCCACAAAATACCACGGCCTGGGCGAGTCTATTTTGAAGAAGTGGCGTTAGAAGAAGTTTCAGTTTAAAAAATTTGGCTCTCACAAGAAATTTCAATTGTTGTGCTGTTGATATTTGGCTCTGTTGACTAATGAGTTTGCCGACAACTGCATTAGCCTATTTGGCCAGTGCAGAGGAGACAGCTCCTTAAAAGTTTTATGTATTCTTAAAAGTTTTATGTATTCTTAAAAGTTTTATGTATTCTTGGGTTAATTCCTAGAGACTTTATAGTTTTGTTACTATCCTATATAATAAAGAGCTAATATGTAATCGTCATTATGACCAATCAACAGGAGGCAGCCTGCACACCAGGCACCCGTGAGTGGGTGGGGGTGCCGGCCCAGTAGCTGCGTCCCTACCCAGGGACATGACGTTGTGTCCCCCACTGGCAGGGCTTGGCAGGGGTGGGGCCAGCTGGGTCTGGGTCTCGCCCAATGGCAGTCGAACATCTCCCAAGGGGCCCGGATTGCGAGAGGGTGCAGGCCGGGCTGAGACACACACACACACACACACACACACACACACACACACACCCCGTGTATGAATTTCCTGCACCAGGCCTCCAGTTATTTTATACAATATTTACCTTTGATTGCTAGTGTAGTAAATGCTATTAATTTTTTGTAGGCTAATCTTTAATTCACCAATCCTGATAAACTCTTACTAATAGTTTATCTCTTGATTCTAATTCTTGTAAGTGATATTATCTGCAAATGATGAATTTCATTATTTCCCTTCCTGTCCTTATACCTTTATAATAGTGTTAACTAGAACCTTTCTTATCATGTTAAACAGTAATAGTGATGGAGGTATCCTTATTACCCATCTTGAAGTGAATGTATATAAAATTTCTCTATAAGTATTGTATTACTTGTAGCTTTTTGGTAATGACATTTACACAGTTACCTTGTATTTTGAGCTGGACTTATTAAATAATTTTATGGTATCAAGATAATCATGATTTTTCTCTTTTGGCCTATTAATGAGATAAATTACATTATAAATAAATGTTAAACCATGCCTACATTTCTAAAACAAACTCTATAGATCATAATTTTTTAACATACTGTTGGGCCTCAACAGTGTAAAAATCCTATTGTGTAGGATTTTCAAATCTTTGCTAATAAGTGCAACAGATCGCTAATTTTCTCATATTATCCTTATCTAGTTTTAGAACCGAGATTTCACTAACCTCATAAAATGAACTTGACTTTTTTTTGTTGTTTTTCTGTTTCCCAGAACAACTTGTAAAAATGAATTAAGTATTAGTATCTAAAAGTTCAATGCAACTACACTTATAAGATTATCTGGGTCCATTTCAGTGTGTTAAATATTTATTAAGCAGTTCAAGCTATCTTTTTCTTCTGTCACCAGCTTTCAGAGTTTACAGTTTTCTAAGTACTTAGATATTTCATCTAGGCTTTCAAATTTATTAACCTATAGAAATTCATAAAATTATGTTTTAAATCTCATGTTTGTCGTTATTTCCCTTTTCACTTACTTTATTTGCAATCATTTCTCCTTGAACAATCTTGTTAAACACAGGTCTGTCTAGCTTACTATTTTCAAAGAACAATCTTTTGGTTTGGCAAGTCATTTGTTCCCTAATTTCACTAATTTCTGCTTTTTTATGTTGTTTTTTGAACTCTTCAAATGAACTCTGTGAAAACACTAAAACAAGCTTCCTTCAGCCTTTAGAAAAGTCAACCTGACACTTTGTCCAAGGTCTACTTTCACCACACAGATTTCAACACACAACCTATGCACGTAAATATTATTCCCATGCATGCATAACAGGAAAAAAATCAAATACAAATACTACCAACCTCTATACATGGAAGCCAGAAACTTTAGCAAACTTAAAGCCAACCTTACCTACACATGAATGTCTTTGATTAAAGCGGTATCTTGAAGACGTATGGCTATGAGCTGTCTCTCCCCCCCCCACACACACACACAAGCGTAAGGCAGTGATTATATACAGTATCTGAATCAAGGCATCGTTTTCTGCAGTGCTAATTGGACAATTCCTAGTGCAGATTGATAAAATTAGTAACTAGAGATGCCATCTCCAGTTGCTTTACCAGATGCCATTCAAAAACTGCAGTTATTAATAGAAGAGAAAGATCTGTCTGTGATGGTCAAAAAACCCTCTCAAAACAAAAACACTCCCCCCCCCCCCCAACTAGGTAAGCGTACCTCCCGATTGGGGGCGGTTTGGAATTCCAGATTTTGGCCTTAATTTTTTTTTCTGCCTGCAACAGCCCGTTGCGGCACACCGCCAAAATAAAAAAGTCCAACACGCCCCCGAAGTTTGGACTGGGACACGGGCTGCATAACTTGCTCTTACCAGGGCAGACTGTTGAAAACAATCTTACAGATTAGGAGCTTCAGAACGGATGTCACAGCTCCCGATGCCTGGGTTTAACTCAAGAGGCAAGCAACGCATGCAATTCTCCTATCAGGAAGCAGGTGTGCAGACACCGGCGAAGGGAAAGAACGAGTGCAGATACAGCTCAGCTGTCTAACCCCCAACTTAGTTTCACGTAGACTGGCTAAAAGCGCGAGAACAGAAGTTGCCAGATTTTGCTCTCTGGCTGCAAAAAGGAAAAAATAAAAAATAAAAGAGAGAGAAAGAGAGACAGAGAAGCGGAAGTCCTCTCCCTATGGAAACGCAAGCTGAGCCTTATTTTGCTCTCCCGTTGGAGGGGAAGCTTCCGGGGGCGCGGAGAAGAGCGGGGTGACAGCCGGCGGCGATCGGGCAGGAGCCGAGCGGGCGGGGCGCCGGGCTCCGCGCGGGGCCGGGTAACCCTAGACGCCGGGCCGCGGCCACCGATCGCGGCGGGGGCGGAGGGCTGGGCGGAGGGAGGCGGGGACCGGAGGGGAGGGGAGACCCGGGCCTGGAGACAAAGGAAGCGGGGCCGCTCCGCAGGGGTGGGGGCGGCGTCCGGGCGGGGAGGAGGGGCGCCCGGGCGGCCGGAGGGGGGACGGCGGCGGCGGGACTCACGGAACTTGGAGGTGGACCTGTTGATGCTGATGGTGGAGCCGGGGCCGGGGGCGGGGACCCCCTTGGCCGCGGCGGCGGCGTCGCAGCTCTTCACCATCATGACCTCCCCATTGGCCCCCGCGGCGGCGGCCCCAGCGGGAGCCCCTCTTGGGGCCCTTCCTGTCCGCCGAGGCCGCCGGCGCCGGCAGCGCCCCCTGGCGGCTCGCGGGCGGGGCTGGCGTCGGCGAGGGGCGGCGGGGGCTGCGGAAGCCGTCCACCGCGGCCTCCCAGTTGTTGTGGTTCTGGTCGTCCATCATCGCCTCGTAGCTGCCCCCCTCCTCCTCCTCCATGGTCTCCTCCCTCCTGCCGGCCGGCCCCCAGCACCCGCCCGTCCTACAGGCACCGCCGCCCGTCTGGGCCCCGGGCCAGGGGGCAGCGCGGCCTCCTCCAGCCACAGCGCCGGGGGCCGGGCCGGCGCGGCGGCGGGGAGGGCGGCGGGGCGCCGGGTCGCTCGCTCTCCGCCGGGCTGACTCTGGGAGACGGGGCTGGCGGCGGTGGGCGCTCCCGGCCTCTCGTCGGGGAGAGGCGACCGTAAAGCGGTGACGCCCCTCACGACATTTTGCAGCAGCTTCCCACAGGCCGTTGGGAAGGGCGGCTGGAGGCGTGGCCGGGGGAACACGTGGTACGAGGAAGCCAAGAGGAAAGGGGCGGGGTCTGTGAGTCACCCCCTAAAGCAATAGGGCAGAGGTTCGCCCCGCCCCGGCCGGGGCTGCACTCGGAGGGGCGGTCGGTCGGGGTGAGCGTTCTTCCGGCCCCGCCCCCTCGTCCGGCCCCGCCCCCTCGTTCGGCCTCTCGTCATAAGGGGGAGTTCGGCTGCGCATGCGCGTTCGCAGCCTGGTTGCCCTGACGACCGAGAACCTGGCCGCCTCCTGCAGCGGAATGCCAACCCCAGTCTAGTGCCACCCGCCACCCTGAGGTTTTTGGGGGGCCCACCGGGTTTACCGGGCCCTCGCGCCGTCCAGGGCCTCGCAGCCCGGCCTTGGTTTGGGGACGGAGCTAGGGAGCCATTGAAAACGTTCGCACATTGAGCACGTTCCTTTATGGGCTAACTCGCGGCCTTAGCCCACACCACCCAAACCTCAAAACCCGAGAATAAAAACTGAAACTTAGCAGGGTGACTAAAAAAAAAAAATCAATGCGTTTGAAATGTTCATGGGTATTTTTTAAGTTTCTAACTCCTCTATACATTGAAGCCAGAAAGTTTAGCAAACTTTTAAGCTTCGTGCCCTATTTCACAAATCAGACTACAAGATTGACAGAGTCTTGAGGGTCAGAGAAAGATTATGTAACTCTTCATTTTTTTTAATTCCTCTGCATTCTCAAATTATAACAATAGCAGTAATATCAAAATACGTTATAATTGCATATTGTGGAATTCATTCTCTAACTACTGGTGCTAAGAAGGAGTGCCTAGAAAAACCCTTTATTACACTTAAGCTAGCAGATAATAAATCCTTATTTCAACAAATATGTAATTAGTGAGAAGTGAAGAATCACTTCAGCCACTAAAAAACTGTCTAATGTACGTCAGTGTCCATATTTGTTTCAGCTTTTTTTCTATATAGTTTCCCAATATATTCTGCACAATCCTAATGGAATGTTTTTTATCAATAACTTGGAATGAATTTCAGACAATGCTCCCTTATATTAATTAAAAACATTTTTATAAATCAGCACATGTTTTTAATTCTCTGGGCCTGGACATTTTGGGAATACAAAATAAGGGGAGGGGGCATTTTTAAGTAAAAGACAATTGAATGGAATACTGGGGGGGGGAGGGGGGTAAAATTGTATGCCCGGCCACAACAACAAAAACAATAGGAGAAGGAAGAATTAGCCTTTTCAGACTAATAGCTGAGTTTGTCATCAACAGACCTTTTTTCTTTCATCAGCTCTTAAACCATTGCCTATTCTATGAGATACATTTTTTTCCTTAAGGAAAAGCAAAGTTTGTTATTACCGCTTTTCATCTCTCTGGCCCTATCCCACCTAATTCTTTTCATCTCTCCTATCCTATCTCACCTAATTCTTAGTACAATGCAATTGCTCAGAGGAGAGCGAAAAGAGGAAAGAAGAGAAGAAAATTCTTATGACAAAGTCCAAAAACTGTACATGCCTAAGTAGCCAAGTAAAAACTAATGAAATCAGAGAAGATTGTGATAGACAACATTCAGACATATAGGTGATTTCATTGCTATTGATATTTCATTTCACATTTACTATTAGTTGCATGAAGGCATTAGCATGGAAAACTTAAAAACGTAGCTCTGATAGAGCTGAGCTACATTAGAAGTAAGAAAAATGAATACTTGTTTAAGCCCAGGAGATTATAATGGTACCAATGCAGCACTTAACAAAGAAATGCCTGTGAATGCATAACGCGATTGAAAGTCTAAATGGAAAGCTATTGGGATGATCTTGATTAGAAGGTAAGAGGATTAGAAACATGTAAATAACGCTAGTCTCAATAGCTGAACACAGAGATTACTGTTTACAGTGGAGATGTGTAGCCACTCGGGGGAGTATTCTCTATTTGGTATTTCTTTCCATATTGGATTTTGTTTCTTCCTTTTATAGCTTATCGTTTGAATCCTAAATTCCATCCTAGCTGGGGAACAGAGATAATGCTGCAGGTTTTCTCCATAACCGATGGAGTTCGGCGCTGAAGGAAATGATTTTAGGCTGAAGGAGGCTATAGAACAAAAGCTTTTCCCATCACACCCTGTTGCAGGCTTATTCCTTTCACTCTGTCATTCACAAATGTCTGTGCAGGCTCTGTGCTGGGGCTGCAGGAGTTTCCATTCCACTGAGGTGCCGAGTATTAAGCAATTAACCACATCAAGAAAAACCATGACAAGCGTTATGAAGGAAATGGCTACGAGAGGACATGAACAGAGAACATGGGTGACCAAGGAGAAACTTTCCAAAAAGCATATTTCTGCTAAGGTGGAAGGGTGGTTGTACGTTAGCCAGTCCCCAAGGTAGAAAGAGAACTTTCCAAGCAGAAGAAACATGACAGAATGCATCTGGAATCACCTAGCAACTGCAAGAAATGTGATGAGACTGGGATGGAGTATCTTGCTGCAAATATGAGAACTGGCCTGATGAGGAGACAAGGGACATAGAGTCAGAGGCCTGAAGGGCCATCCATGTTGCTGTTGAAGCTTCCCTCGTGGCAGGAGTGGACTTGACGATAAAGGTTATCCAGAAGTGAAAGTGAGAAGTGGCACCCGGGAGAAGGTCACGATGAGGAGGTGAGGTGGGAAAATCCAATGGGGTGAGCCCATGGTGGAGGGGGGGGGGAGGGAGGAATGGTGTGAGCCCATGGAGGGCACGGGGGGGGGGGGGGGGGGGGAGCGGGGAGGGGGGAGGAAAGAATGAAACGGAACAAGGAGGACAGCAAGACCACCTCCCCATTGTAGGAATTCGGGGTCTGAGGGATAAGTGTCCCCTCCAGAGGCCGCAGGGAAGCTGTGCTCAGCGAGAGAGCTGAGTTTTGAGCAAAGACATGGAGAGAGTATTTGAGGAAACAATACAGAGAATGTGCTGACCACAGAGCAACTGTTCTAGAAGGTGCAGCGAAAGGGACTGTAAAGGGAGAAAGGGCTACAGGATTGTGCCAGGGGAGACTACAGAGAAGTTTGGAAATGAGAACTAGGGTTAGTAAAAGTAATTGTTTGCACTTGGGGTGAGAAAGCAGCACGGACGATCCTGTGCATCCAATCCCAAAGGAGTTTTAGGGGAAGGGAACACCTGGGCCTAACACAGCTGTGGTCTGAAAGTGAAGCCCTTCCCGGGGGGCTTTTGAATTTGAATTTTGAAATTCAGGACTGGCCTCTGCCATCAGCCAGCACTGCCAGGTGCTATGGGCATGTCTGTGGTTGGCAGCAGTGAGCACAAAACACCTGGTTTTTCATGGCCAGTCAATCCAGAAAATGCTCCCTTTGATTACCTGGAAAACAGTGTATGTTTATTGGCATTCCAGAAAGTTGGACCAAGATGCTTCATGATCTTGATGCCAACACTCTCCATGGAGTAGCCCTGGGCAGAGTCCAGAACCTTCTGGAGGCCACACCAATCACAGAGAGGACTTATTGTCTCTCTTGTCATATTTAAGAAGGGGCAGAAACCAATTCCATGTTTCACACACAATCACATTTTTAAATTTTTTTTTTTAAGATCTAATTGGTCTCACTGAATGATTCATGAATCAGGCAGCAGCCCATCCAGCAAATGGAAGGGAGTTCCCACAATCGACATTTTCATACATTATACCCAAAACTGCCTGCCATACTCTCTAAGCCCAAACATTTTAGCTTTGGCATAGGGGCGCCTCTTGCCAGCCAACAGGTCAATTTTGGCAGCTCCCTTTGATTACCTGGAAAACAGTGTATGTTTATGAAAATTGCATGTTTTTACCTTATTGTTTGGTAAAAATGAGCAGAAAATGGAAAACTGGATGCACTGATACCAGTGATTTTTAAAAAGCTATAAAGTTAATCCCATTTAGACACAGATGGAAACCATTAAAAGTGCTGCAAACAGAAACTCTAATCACTATCAGCCATGCACTGGGTCTTGGTTACTCACAGGTGTAATTGCAAAGTAAAAGAACAAAATTAAGTTCAGAAAGCAGCAAGATACGATCAAGACCTGTCAATGAACAGTTGTGATCGAGGATTTTGTAATATGTTTAGCTCTCTGAGAATGGGACAGCCTTCTATAACCACGTGGCTCCATTGTTCACTTGCACGCATTCAGTCGTCCCCGAGTTCTGAGGCTGTCTGTGCAGAGATTCAAAATGGAAGCCTCTCTTGGGAAAGACAATGTCCCCAAGGGGGCGGGAGAGAACATGGGAAGACACTGAGCTGGTTAGTAATCCCAGGGCAGGGAAGGCAGCCATGCATTTACTATGTGCGAGGCCCATACCAGGAGCTGCGTTTCCTCTGGACTCAGAGCCACCCTCCAAACCAGTCGTGAAAAGGAAGCTGGCCGTCCTGACAGCCACAGCCTTGGCCAGCTTGTCCATGTGTCCAAGAACACTGTGAATAATAATAATCCTACATAGACAGGGCTGAGTTCAGCCAGACCTGCCGAGAGCATGCCCACACTGGCTCCAGGCATTGACCATTGGGAGCCTAACAGCCACTTCTTGTCCCCATAGCCTCTACTCATTTGAAGGCATCAGATAACCATGGATTCTAGGAAAGGCTCTGCAGAATGAATCTGGAATTTTCCAAGCCAATGGAGATTCCCTAGGAGTTGACTTGGAAATGGGCTGCAAGCCTGGCCAAGGCGTCGTGAGACGCCAACTAGAGGCTCCGTGGATGCAAGGAAGGACTGTCCTCTTCTGGGGACATGGACAAGCTTGGGCTGTGGCAACTATCTTACATCCACTTAGGTCGGCAAACTGCGGCTCTGGAGCCACATGCGGCTCTTCCACAAAATACCACGGCCTGGGCGAGTCTATTTTGAAGAAGTGGCGTTGGAAGAAGTTTAAGTGTAAAAAATGTGGCTCTCCAAAGAAATTTCCATCTTTGTACTGTTGATATGTGGCTCTTTTGGCTAATGAGTTTGCCGACCACTGACTTCATCAAAAGCATGAGGTCAGAAGCCAACATGCTCAGGTTGGTAGAGCAGGAAGATGAATTGAGCCTAGGTCTCAAGGAAGGCTTGGGAGTGAGTTAGCCCCTGGAACTGCCTGGCCTCCATGCTTCTTACTGCACAGGACCTGAAGTCGCTTTGAGGTTCCATACTTTTTCAGTTGTGTCCCCAGTTACAAACTGAAAGTACCCTCATACAACATCTCAGCAGCATCTGG